AGAAGCAGCTGCTTCTCCTCTGGGCTGGAGGGAGGGGAGGAGAAGAAAGGAAGAAAGGAAGGAAGGAAAGATGGGAGGGAAGGAAAGAGGGGAGTTAGATGAAAGGGAGGAAGGGGAAAGGGAGAAAGGGAAGAGAAGGGACAGAGGGAGGAAGAACCTGGCTTTCCCAAGAACGGTCTGCTCTGGGCCGGAGAGGGAGAACCAAGAAGTTTAGATGGGACTTCACTGGCAGTTGCAAAGCAGCCTTCCCTCGATTGCCTTCCCCCAACGCCCCCCAACCCTTTCAAAAGCCACCCCCATCGCCAGCCTCTCCCAACCGGATCCCCGCCTGCCTCCCCTCGGCTCACCCGGACCAGTTTGCTGACAGCGGCTTGCACGGCATGGCTGCAGGGAGAGTGGCACCCAAGAGAAGCGGGCAAAAAAAAAACAACCTTCCGATGGCTGAGCCGCTTGGCCCGGACCAAGCCTCCTCCTTGCCACACTGCCGCCGCCAGAAAGCCATCGCTCTCCCTGCAGAAAAATGGCACGCGTCAGCACTTGCACGCACAGGAGGGGAGGGAGCCTCGCCCCTCGTCGGGCGCTGCGAGCAAGGCGAGTGGAGAGAGGGAAACCACTGCCCTCTAAGGCCACATCGGGAATGACATTTCAGAGAAATACAAACTTTTTTTTAACGGCATCCTTTTTAAAATTGATGATTCGACGTCTTTTCTTTCTTTTGGAAAATCGGGACTTTTTGAACATGCCGTGGGACATGGGACAAATTATTAAAAATTGTGACTGTCCCGCCAAAAGCGGGACATCTGGTCACCTTAACCTTTTCCCCCCTCCCTGAGCCTCCATGCAGGCCCTGCACATACCTAACATCCAAAACGGGCCGCATGGAGACTCCTGGGGGGAGTGGAGGGTTGTGGAGGGTGGCAGTGGGGCATGGTGGTTAGGACCAGCCAGAGATGGGATTTGGAGGTTCTCTGAACCGTCTGTAATGCTAGCTATGGGTTCTCCCGAACCCGGGCAAATCCATAGCACACCACCCCTGAATACATGCCAGTCGCCAAGTATGTAAATTTTGATCATGTGACCACAGGGATGCTACAATAGTCATAAGTGTGAAAACAGATGATAAGTCACTTTTCCAGTGCTGTTGCAACTTGGATAGTCACTAAAGGAATAGTTTTAAATCAAGAAGTATCTGCATTTCATTCTGACTTTTGTCCTTTAAAGGGGGAACACCTAAGGACCGGAGCTTCTGCATTTTCGGCCAAAAACAAAAGGAAACCTACAAAGAGGTCAAATTCTTCTTGATCATTATTCTTTTAAATGAAATGTTCAAAAAAGTCCTGGCTTCATTAAGGAGGAAGCGGGCTCCCTTATTAGAAAATTCTTAAGCAACTGATTTTATGTGATGAATCAATTAATCTTGATTAAATCTGCATATGGAAGATGACAAAAATGCATTCTCTGCCACATCAGGACAGGAGAGTCAGCCAGAATGTGAAAGTACCTTTTCGGGTGATATACTTTGCAGAATCTGTAAGTATCCCGATTAAGAACAGTTTTAAAAAAAAAAGAAAAAAATTAATTAATTGGGGCATACTTTAAGAAAAATGCAGAGGCTGCAATTCTTCAGCCAGAAATTTTTGGATTAAGTTACATTGCAGACTTTATTTCTAAGTCAAAAATGAGATAGTAAATGCTAATCATTTAATCTCCCCCCCCCCCAATTAATCAATTAATTGTTCTGGCTATTTTCATCAATAATAATGCTTTTTTTTTTATTTAGGCATTTCTTAGAGCCGAATTGGTATCAATCAGAATTTTGAAAGCTTCAGGTGTTAGTCCCCAACTTATGACCACAATTGAGCCAAAAATGTATAGTGTTAAGTGAAACAAATGTTAAGTGAATTTTATGACTTTTCTTGGCACAGACGTTAAGTGAATCACTGCAGTTATTAAGTTAGTCACACAGTTGTTAAGTGGATCTGGCTTCCCTATTGACTTTGCTTGTCAGAAGGTTGCAAAACAAGATCATGTGATACCCCCCCCCCTCCATCCAGGACACTGCAACTTTCATAAATAAGAGTCAGTTGACAAGCATTCAAATTTTGATCACGTAACCGGGGGGGATCGTAAATGTGAAAAATGGTTATAAGCCACATATTTCAGTCAAATGTTCACTAAATGAATGGACTACCTGTATTTCCTCTTTCCACTCAAACATTCCGAATTCTGGGAACAAATAATTAAAGCAATCAATAAACATTTGTACTTGAAGAAGTGTTAACACTGATGCAAATTTGGGAAATGCGCCAAGAAGAAGGTTAAACTCTGCAGGTTAAAAGTCCTTTTTATTAGCAGAGGGAACAGTGTTAGTGTTCCTTCTTCACAAATGGCATTCCTAGAGTGTTTGAGAAAAATAAGAATGAATCAGAGGTTTAAAATATATTATTTCCCACTCGTAACAGGATAACTAGAAAAGGATGAAAAAGGAAATGTTGTTTTTTCTTTAAAACCAAAAAGGATAAACAAAGTTTACCCTGAATTTTATTTTCATTGCAAAATCAACTCTTACTCATTACATTTTTTTTAATGAATCTTCCATTTTTTTCTTTTGTTTGGTCCCTTAATGCTGGACTACAGCTAGGAAGGATGTGGTGGCTCAGTGGCTAAGATGCTGAGCTTGTCAATCAGAAGGTTGGCAGTTCAGCGGTTCGAATCCCTAGAGAGGATTGAGCGGAGTGACGGAGTAAGCTCCCATTACTTGTCCCAGCTTCTGCCAACCTAGCAGTTCGAAAGCATGTAAAAGTGCAAGTAGAAAAACATTCCATGCTTCCGATGTTTAGTCCTGCCGGCCACATGACCATGGAGACGTCTTCGGACAGCACTGGCTCTTTGGCTTTGAAATGGAGATGAGCACCACCCCCTAGAGTCGGGAACGACTAGCACAAATGTGCGAGGGGAACCTTTACCTTTACCTTACAGCTAGGATAGGAGCTAAGAATCCCTCAACAGAGTTAGTTGTGGAAAGTCCTGATCTATATGTCCCTAGGGTCAAAGTGAGTTGATGTGAACATCAGCAAAGATACAACCTAGAATTGTACTAATGAGGCAAATATAGAGTTCAAAATACAATCCCATCAATTTCCCAGTTCCATCTCCTGAACCCATCTTCTGTACCAGAGGTGGGTTTTTGTCGGTTTTCCCTGGATCGGGTGAACAGGTAGTGGTGGTGGCAGGAGGCTCCACCCATCCAGCCGGACGCTTCCTGCGCATGTGCAGAAGCATCGCGCGATTACGTGAGCACTCGCACGCATGAGCAAACCAGTAGTAAGATAAATAGAAACCCACCACTGTCCTGTACCCATCATAGAGATTTAGAAGCATTTTTGGGTCCCACCCATTAAAGCCTTCTGCTTGATTGTTTGTCTGGTATTAATCCCTGCTTATCTACTTACTTACTGCTTATCCCTGCTTATCTATTAACACCAGACAAACAGTCAAACAGAAAATAATACATGCATTCGGTTCCCCATCCCTATTGGGAATAAAATACTCACTTAAGAAGCTTACATCACTTACGTCGTTTAGGCCCTGCCCCCGATTCCTCCACCTGGTAAACAGAGAGCCTGTTGATGCCTCCACAGATGGTCCCTTTCTCCCCTTTACACTCATTGTTACACTCTTCCTGCTTTGCAATATTCACTGGCAGCTGGTTTCCACAATAGCATTCTGTTCCATATTCCAAGCCGGCATATTTATAAGTTCTGGACAAAACCAAAAAGAAAATTCTTCTTATATCATCATTGCAACCTATACCAAAAAAAAAACAGCTGCTTTTTTTTTGCAGCCCTAGACAGGCGACCCCCCCCCCAGGACAAAGCAAAGTTGTTTGAAGCTAGGATTAACACGGGCGGGTCCCACCCCTGTGAGATTTATGCTTTTATTACTATCTTAAACACCAGCACCATTTGTCTTAGAGGCTTCTTTGTTTAAACGGACTTCAAAATGGCGATTTCTCTCCGTTGGTGACTGATAGGGGATGTACTTAGCCGGCTTTACCTTCCTGCAGACCGCTCCTTAACAAAATAATCTTTTTGGGGGGGAAACAGAGGGGAGCGAGAGCGCTGTTTATTTGTTTATTTATAATGGCACCCAGGTCAAAATCGAAGCGTCTCTCTACG